TATATATATATATACACACACACACACACACACACATATGAGAATATATTTATATATGAGGAAACAAAAAATATGAGAATATATATACAGTAGATATACACATACATACATAGGTGCGGGTGTGCGTGCTGGAGTGGCAGTGCTGGTGGCAGCAATGCCCCCAACCACCCCCATGCCACCCCTTCCCCCACACTGAGTGACTATTACCTGGCTTCTCCCCACATTATCTATGTCCCACAGCCTGCTCAGTCCGGGTACTGACGAGATGCCCCGCCTCCTGCAGAGCCCGCACTGTACTGAGAGCCGTGCATTCCTTGTGACAGCCGCTGCTTGAGTCAGTGAGAGGCAGCCCTGGAGCCTCCGTGCCACTTCAATGACAGCCCAGCCAGCACGGCATCAGAGGGGCCAGTGGGGCAATTGAGGACCACCAAAATTTTCTCGTGGACCACCAGTTGGCGACCGCTGCACTAGAGCATTCCCAAATCTGCATATAAAACACGGTAATATGGAACAGCAAGGGAGAATGTGTATGCATCCGTTACTGAAAGTAAACTATAGTTTCCATGTCACTTGTGAATATATCTGTTTATTGCCAATAAATAACCGTGTAAGATTTTTTTCCCCTTCCAATCAAATGGACTTAATACGACATGGTTACAAAACTAAAATGTAGAAAAAGAATTCTGTGATTCACCACTGATCAGATAAGGAGAATTCTGATCATCTTATACATATCTAGTAGAAATTCTGGCCTTTGCCCTGGGTGACAGAATGTCTAGCTTCACTGCTGTTCTCCAGCTGTTGTGGAACTACAAATCCTATGAGGCATTGCAATATTCTCACAGCCACTGGCATGGCTCCCAGAGACAGATGCATGACGGGATTTGTAGTTTCACCCCAGCTAGAGGGCCGGATTTTGCCCACCCCTGATGTACGCTATCTCTAATAACAACTTGCTCCAGCGACAGAACGCCTTCATTGCCAGTTGCTTTGGCAGTCGCTGTGCGCGGTCCTCTCGAACGTTCATGTAATGCTGTAACTTGGCAGTGAAAACATTTGCACAGACATGTGAATGACTCAGCCTTGTTTCTCTTGTTCAGGTTCGGGCCAGCGCCATCGCCCAGGACGCCGACCAGAACTACGACTACGCCAGCAACAGCGTGGTGCTACACCTAGAGCCGGGCGACGAGGTCTACATTAAGCTGGATGGTGGCAAAGCCCACGGCGGCAATAACAACAAATACAGCACGTTCTCTGGATTTATCATCTATGCCGACTGAGGATACCTCAATTATCTGGAAGTAAACTCTCTGACTCCTGCAGCCCCGGCGTGACGGACTCCAGGGGCTGCTGACTATAGTGGCGATATAAGACGCTTAATGAATATGGGGACCATGCGCACTACTACGGAGATCCACTGCTACCTGAGTTACACCTCAAAAGACATCAAATATCCAATCAATTATATCCATATATGTCGTACACGTTACACAGATGTGTCACCCCCTTACCGCCAAAGCCAAAATTACTTGTCCGTGCCTGTGTGAATGAAATCCTACACAATAAAGTTTTTGTATTTAAAAAAAAAAAATCCCCAAGTATATATCAATTTATATCCTATACCAGTGGTAGGCAACCTCGGCACTCCAACTGTGGCGAATCTACAAATCACATAATGCCTCTGCCTTTAGGAGTCATGCTTGTGGCTGTCAGAGTCTGGCAATGGCTCATGGCACTTGTAGTTCCACAACAGTTGGAGTGCCGAGGTTGCCCACCCCTGTCCTATATCTTCGCTATTATAGCCATTTGTCAGCTTTGAACTTTCTAACCTGCCTGCCATTGATAATGCCCGGAGCGGACTAGCTGTATGGTGAAAGGATGATCCCCGGTCTCTGTTCTGCAATAATAAGAAATGGCGGACGGACGGTGGTGTATGTATTTGAGAGACAAGGAATAATATAAGCACAACTGTGAATAACGGTGGTGAAAAAAAAATGAAGAAGCGTAAACGTGAAAAAAACTGGTGTATTGGTTACATAAAACCATGAAACTATTGTATATTCTGTCAGACTTATTTTAAAATGCATATATAAATGAAATTAAAAGTGGCTAAATTTGTTCATATAAAGTTTATATTTAATACCGAAAAAGCACATTGTATTTTATTCTGCACTTTAAATTCGTTTTCTGCAGTTGTAATTGCAGACTTGTTATAGCTACACTCAGATATATGTTTTGTGTTAAAGGCTAAGTTTACTTTTCTTACCATGTTTCACGTTACACCTATATACAGTGTGTAACATGAAAAAAGGTCACATCATCTACCTACCCACCCCCATCCTGCCCCCCCAGAGGTGTATATACACATAATAGCACCTATGGCAAGCACTGAAATTGCACCCCTTTCCAAAAACTGACACCCATAGTTTAGATAAATTTGTCATATTATCAAACCAGAAATACAAGTCAAATGCATCAGAGTTCCTCCTTACATCAGAGCCCCTTGCCTTAGAATCCCCAGAGTTCCCTTACATAAGAGTCACCAAAGCTCCCCCTTATAACAGAATTCCCTATTATATCAGAGTGCTCAGAGCTCCCCCTTACATCAGAGTTCCCCATTACATCAGAGTCCTCATAGCTCCCCCTTACATCAGAGTTCCCCATTACATCAGAGTCCTCATAGCTCCCCCTTACATCAGAGTTCCCTCTCTTACATCAGAGTCCCAAAAGCTCTCCCTTATAACAGAGTGCCCTATTATATCAGAGTCCTCCCAGCTCCCCCATTACATCAGAGTCCCCAGAGTTCCCTTGCCTTAGAATCCTCAGAGTGCCCTCTTACATCAGAGTCCCCAGAGCTCCCCCTTATAACAGAGTTCAGCATTACATCAGAGTCCTCATAGCTCCCCCTTACATCAGAGTCCTCATAGCTCCCCCTTACATCAGAGAGTTCCCCATTGCATCAGAGTATTCAGAGTTCCCCCATTGCATCAGAGTCCCCAAAGCTTTCCCTTATAACAGAGTTCCCCATTACATCAGAGTCCTCAGAGTTCCCACTTACATGAGAGTCACCAAAGCTCTCCCTTACAACAGAGTTCCCCATTACATCATAGTCCTCAGAGCTCCCCCTTACATCAGAGTTCCCTCTTACATAAGAGTCCCAAAACTCCCCCTTATAAAAGAGTTCTCTATTATATCTGTAAAAAATAAGTCAAGGCAACTGGACTTGCTGTATTTTTCTTGAAAACGTTTCATTGGACATCCGACCAGCTTTCTCAATTCAGAATTGAGAAAGCTGGTTGGATGACCAGTGTTATTAGAACAATGGATGCACATGGTGTGTGGACACACTTTGTGGTCTATTTATAAACAAGTCACATGACTCTTTGCCCTGCGAATATCTGTGAATATTCATTTACAGGGTTATTCACAGAAGGGTGAAGAGTTTGAAGAAGGCAGGAGAAGTGAACAATCTAGGGCAAAATAGCTGAACTGGAAAGTGAGCTGAATTGGGGAATTTTTCCAAATCAGCTATTTTGTCCTAGATTGTTCTCTTCTCCTGCCTTTTCCAAACTCTTCACCCTTTTGTGAACAACCCTGTTAGTGTGAATAATGACAAAAACAAATGTACGTCATATTTTTTTTTTTTTAGGTTAAATGGATTGTGATGCAATACAGAATTATGGCCACTAGATGGTGCTGAGGAGCACAGGATATCAGTATCTATTTCCTGTGCTCCTCAGCACCATCTAGTGGCTATAATATAGTATTACATCACACTACATTTGACTTGAAAACAAATATATTAAGAATTTTACTTTTTGTCATTCTTTGCACAAAACAAACCTTCACAGATATTCTTATTTATATTCTTATAATTGTTTATAAATAGACCCCAAAATGTGGCCACACACCACGTCTATCCAATGGCTTTTCTTCATCCAGGTCATCTAGACACATGTTTGCAGGATCCTCCCACGTTACACCCCCTGAACAGGCTTTTTTTGTTGACATTGCCTCTACAATAAACCCATCCATTGTGTGAAATGTGCCAGAGCAGGAATTCTCAGAACTCATTCACTGGAGCTCCCCAGAGATATCAGAGGAGGCTGAGTCATCCAATGTGCTGCTTTCTACATACAGCTATCATTTCATCTTCCTACAAGTTAACCCATTAATTCCCGCCTGTATGTTAAAGTGAAAATGAAAGCAAACAGCTACATACACAGCTGAAATATGTATGTCAGGGCCGGGTGTCACCCAGGAGCGGAGACCGGGTGACACCCCGCACCTCTCCTCTCTCCTGCAACTGCCGGGCTGACCGAGTGACTGACTTTGCAGAGGGGTTGACACCAAAATTAATGTCAGTCATTTTGGTGTCTCCCCTCCAATGGTGTCACCTAGGTGCTAGCCGCTACCCCCGCACCCCCCTTGTGACGCCACTGCAGTATGTGTGAACTGCTTTGCCTGCCAACAATGTAAATCTGTTCAGCCAATGTTCTAATCCGCACTCCACTGAGAGGAAACATAGCCAGATCCTGACTTTCATCCTCTAGAGTCAAAGCCATACAGGTTAGTGAAGGCTGTGATAAAAATGTAAGTGATTAATGGCTCGCTGATGAGGTCACCTCTGTGATCTGCCCTCCAATTAGCAAGTTCTATTTGTTAGATTTACAGCATTGTGCATGGAAGTGAATAATGTCTGGCCGGCTCAAACGGGACTAATTTAACCTAATAATGTACCAAGCGCGTTGTGTCCCCCATCTCCCTTCCCCGATTGGCTGTACATAATAGAGCTGAAGATGTCTGTGAAGGTTCTCATTCATCCAGGTCATCCAGGTCATGGTATATCTGTAATAAATAAATCAAGGCAACTGGACTTGCTGTTTTTTAATTGAAGACGTTTCGTTGGTCATCCGACTAGCTTTCTGAATTGAGAAAGCTGGTCTGACGACCAGCAAAATGTCTTCAAGAAAAATAGAGCAAGTCCAGTTGCCTTGATTTATTTTTTACAGATATGGGGCTGAAGAGTGTAGTACCCATCCTCACTAGAAGGGGTAGTGTAGAGGGTAGGCCTCACCTTGGAGGACACATTGGAACAATTTGGCCTCAGTGCTGTTTTGGACTCATATGTTGATGGTTGACTTGCATCAATAGCAAGTCTGCATTTACTTCAATGCTGCAGTGCAGATGACAGTTGTGAGGTTACGTTTGACCATCTTTGTGTCCGGCGTCCTTGGACACAGCAATAGAAAATGATATGGTGCCATCCGTGGTTATAACTTCGAGCACCACCATCGTGGTTTGGCTTGCAACACTGCAAGGAGTGCAGGGGGACTTACTGGTGTACTACTTTGGGCACAGCTGGTCCGCTTGAGATGTGTTTGGATTGTAGGGAGAGCGGGTCACATACAGCCTTCAGCTGTGTTTTGTGTTAGAACATGAACATTTGGGCAGCCCTATGTTTGAATGCACAGGGCGGCATTTGACCACATTACTAGACATGTACGATTCGTTTTGTTCCAGATCAAATTTTGGACGAATTTTCTGAATTGCAATGCATCCGAATGTGTCCGAATCCGAATTTCCGTTTCGGATCCCATCCGAATTTTGTTGGAAACTAAACTGAATCGGACATGTGACTTTTCTTGTCAATCCGAAGTTTTTTTCAGTTTAATGCATCTGAATGGGTCTGAATACAAATTTTTGTTACGGCAACATGGGAGCCATATACAGTATATACATATAATACTAAAGCTGAGGCTCAGCCACAGACATGAATCCCAGAGAGAGATGCATCATGGGATTTGTAGTTTCACCACAGCTGGAGGACCAGCATTTGGCTACCCCTGCTCTAGCCCACATACATAAAATTAATTGACCTACTTACCTGCCTTCTCAAAACCAGCCACAGGATGGTGCTAAAGAGAATACATCTCTGTTTACAGCAAGCTGACTGTTTTCCTATGGTAGGTTCCCAGCAACCTCTAATCCAAGAAGAAAGGAACAAGTGCATTCTAGGATTCAGACTCCATCTTGGAACCAAGGAGAAGAGAATCGGATGCCATCCTGAGCGCATGTCTGGAGTATATGCCCAGATTCCCCTTACGGAGGCATTGCTGGTAGGGACAGACTTGTTTCTCTGAATATTTGTGGGTTATCACTCTGTTTACATGTTTCTATATTGATTGTATGTTTCAATGTTCTTTTTTTTTTAACCAGTTTCACCCCACCCTGTTTTGTTAATAAAGCTTTAAAGATTTCATCCAGTCTAGCTTATTACGGAATAGGAGGGTTTAGGTGCATGTCAACCTATATACAGGCCACAGGGTAACGTGTAGCAGGAACATAACAGTGATAATGACAACTTAAATATAATAGTTAACTGATGTTGGAAAACAATGAAAGCTTGACAACACACCAGCTACCGGCTACAAACTCTTCCAAGACTTCCACACAAGTTTTGTTGAGAAAAAAACAATCCTCTCTGGGTGTTAAAGGTACATTGTAAAGATTTTAATAAAGTTGTTGCAGCTTCCGACCTTTCTGTTTTGAAGAAATAGCAGTTTGTCTCACCATGTCCTTTCCAGACTGG